ATGTTGAATGAATGTTGAATGAATGTTGAATGAATGTTGAATGAATGAAACTTGGAAAACATTCCATTTTATGCCTTACTGAAGTTGAATTTAAAACATTGCAAAATTGGATGCAATGATGAAGTGGATTCACAACTGAGCATTCCTATAATCAGTGTGCAGTAAATGTGAAAAATCATGATTGATTTCCGCAGCCCAACATAAGCATAACAAATGATACCGAGATCAGAACTTATTTACAAATCATTTAGATCTAGATCAGAACGAGTTTCAACATGCTATCTCATAAGTTCACAACATGCCAAAGGTAAGAATGCAATACTTGTCTCTCAGCTTTTGCTCTAACATCCTGATAGAGATCTGGGAGCTTGCACAGATTCAATATGTTGTTTCATAAATTTTGTGATAAGAGAAGTGGACATTGTCCAGGGATTGAAGTTCACCTACCTTTAAAGCTATTATAACAGAGAAGCTCAATGAACTTAATCACTACTCATTCAGGGGATCTATACATCACCGGCTGGGTCAGCACTTATTGTCCATCCATTGTTACCCTTGAGAAGAGACAATAAGCTACCTTCTTGAACCATCGCAGTTCATCTGCGAGAAATAGACCTACAATGTCAGTAGAGACGGAGTTCCAGGATTTTAACCCAACAACATTGAACTAACAGTGATATATTTCCATGTCAGGACAGTGAATGGTTTGGAAGGGAAATAATATTCCCACGTCTCTGCTGTCACTATTCTTCTCGATGGTAATGCTCATGGGTTTGCAATGTGCTGTTTAAAAGGAGCCTTGATAAATTTCTGCACTGCATCTTGCAGATGGGATACATTGCTGCTACTGAGCATCAGTGGTGGGGAAAAAAGTGAACGTTTGCAGATGTAATGCCAAATCAAGTGAGCTGCTTTCTCCAGCATGATCAAGCTTCGAGTGATATTGAAGCCGCACCCATCCAGGTAAGTGGGGACTATTCCATCAAACTCCTGACTTGTGCCTTGTAGATGATAGCTTTGGGAAGTCAGGTGGTGAATTATTTGCTGCAGTATTCCGAGTCTCTGACCTGCTCTTGTAGCCACTGTATTTACATGGCAAATTCAGTTGAGTTTGTGGTCAATGGTAACTCCGAGGATTTTGACAATGGAAGATTCAGTGATGGTAATACCAAAGTCAAGGAGTGGTGGTTAGATCATCTATTGCTGGAAAAGGTTTTTGCCTGGCATTTGTGTGCAGTTATTCTCCACTTATCAGCCCAAGCCTCGACATTATCCAGATCTTGATGCACTTGAACAAAGACCTCAATATCTGAGGAGTCACGAACGATGCTGAACATTGAACATCCCCATGTCTGAGCTTCTGATGAAAGCAAGGTCATTGACGAAGCACCTGAAAATGGTTGGGCCTAGGACACTACACTGAGGAACTCCTGAAGTGATGTCCGGGAGCTGAAATGACTGACCTCCAACAACCATAACCATCTTTCTATCTGCCAAGTACAACTCCCAAACAATGGAGAGTTTGCCCCCGATATCCATTGAATCCAGTTTTTTTAGGGTTCCTTAATACCACACTTGATCAAATGCAGCCTGGATGTCAAGGGTTGTCACTCTCACTTCACCTCTGGAATTCAGCTCTTTTATCTGTGTTTGAAGCAAGGCTGTAGTGAGGTCAGGAGCTGATTGACCCTGCTGGAACCCAATTTGGGTATCAGTGAGCACATTAATGCTAAGAAGGTGCTGCTTGACAGCACCGTTGATGACACCTTTCATCACTTTACTGATGATAGAGTAGGTGGAGGTGATGGTAATTGGCTGGGTTGGATTTGCCCTGTTTTCTGTGCACAGGGTATATCTGGGCAATTTGCCACATTGTCGGGTCTAGGCCCGTGTTATAACTGTACTGGAAAAGCTAGGCCAGGGGAGTAGCAAGTTCTGGAGTACAAGTCTTCAGTACTATAGCTGGAATGTTGTCAGTAATTTCTGCAGTATCCAGGCGACTCCAACTAGTTCTTGAAATCACGTGGAGTGAATTGAACTGGTTGAAGACTGCCATCTGTGATGCTGGGGACCACCAGAGGAGACCAATATGGATCATCCATTCGGCACATAAGGTTGAAGATTGTGGCGAATGCTTCAGCATCTTTTTTTGTACTGACATGCTGGGCTTTTCATTTTGAGGATAGGGATATGTGCAGAGCCTCCTCCTCCAGTGAATCATTTAACTGTCCACCATCATTCACAATTGGATGTGAAAAGACTGAAGAGCTTAGATCTGATCCCATTGGTTGTGGGATTGCTTAGCTCTATCAATTGCTGCATATGCTATTTGGCATGCAAGTAATCCCATTTGATTGCTTCACCAGGTTGACACTTTATTTTTAGGTATGCCTGATACTGCACCTGGCATGCCCTCCTGCACTCTCCATTTAACCAAGGTTGATCCCCTGGCTTGATGGTAGTGGTTGATTGGGATATGCCAGGCTGTAAGATTGCAGGTTGTGTTGGAGTACAATTCTGCTGCTGTTGATAGCCCACAACACCTCATGGATGCCCAGTCTTCAGTTGCTACATCTGTTTGAAGTCTGTCCCATTTAACCACAGTCATAATGCCACACAACACAACAGTAGGTATTCTCGGTGTGAAGGCTGGACTTCGTTGCCCCAAGAACTGTGCAGTGGTCACTCTTACCGACTTTGTCATGGATAGATGCATCTGCAGCCAGCAGACTGGTAAGGAGGAGAGCAAATATGCTTTTCCCTCTTGTTGGTTTCCTCACCTGCGGACCTAGCCTAGCAGCTATGTCCTTTAGGACTTGACCAACTCAATCAGTCGTGCTACTGCCGACCCACCCTTGGCAACAAACATTGAAACCTCCCATGCAGAGTACTTCTTGTGCTCTTGCCACCTTGGTACTTCCTTCAAATTTTGTTCAACAAAGAGCAGTAATGATTCAGCTGCCAACAGAAGATGGGACATAGTAAATCAGCAAGATTTTTCCTTGCCCATGGTTTAACCTGAAGCCATGAGACTGACTTTAGATCTGAAGTCAATGTTGAAATCTCCCAGAGCAACTCCTTCCCAACTCTATACTACAGTGCTGCAACCTCTGTTGGATCTATCCTGCTATTGAGACAAGACATATCCAAGGATAGTGACAGTGGCATTTAAGACAGAATCATACTCACGGAATCATATTTTACAGACAATGTCAGGCTGTTACTTGACTAGTCTTTGAGAGTGCTCTCCCAGTTTTGGCACTAGCCCTCAGATGTTACGAAGGGTAGTCGATGACCGAGTGGTATTATCGCTGGACCGTTAATCCAGAGACCAGACAACATTCTAGGGACCCATTCCACTATCCCACCATGGCAGATGGTAGAATTTGAATTCAATAAATATCTGGAATTAAGAATCTAATGATCACCATGAATCCATTGTCGATTGTCAAAAAAACCCATCTAGTTCACTAATGTCCTTTAGGGAAGGAAACCTCTATCCTTACCTGGTCTGGCCTACATGTGACTCCAGACCCACAGCAATGTGGTTGACTCTGAACTACCCTCTGGGCAATTAGGGATGGGCAATAAATGCTGCCTAGCCAGCGATGCCCCTCAACCTGTGAATGAATAACAAGAAAAGGACTTTGCAGGATTAACAGGACTGTTTTTGTCATTGTCTTTTCCAGTACCTCAGTCGATGCCAGGTAGCCTGTGTGTTTTCATTTCTTTGTTGAGACTTTGTAGCAATTGATATAACAGAGTGGCTTACTAGGCTATTTTAAGAGAGCAGTTGTGGAGTCAGGCACACTGCTGTGGTCTGGAGTCACACACAGGCTAGACCAGGTGAAGATGGCAGATGTCCTTCCCTGAAGAACATTAGTGAGTCAGATGGGTTTTTCTGACAATAGTTTCATGGTCAACAGTCGATTCTTAATTCCAGAATTTTTTTTGTTGAATTCAAATTCCACCATCTACTGCGGTGGAATTCAAACTAGAGCCCCCAGAACATCAGCTAAATGTCTGGATTATTAAACTAGTATTAATACCACTAGGCCATTACCTCCCCATTTTCTGGCACCTTAGTCAACTTCAGATTTGTCAGTTTCATTCCTTTTTCAAGAATCTTTTGGTGATTGATACAACTGAGTGGTTTGTTCAGCCATTTCAAAGGCAGTTAAGATTTAATCATGTTGGAGTCACTCATCAGCCAGACCAGGTAAGGACAATAGTTTTCCTTCTCCAAACACAATAATGAACCAGATGGTATTTTATGACAATACAAGTTCTACCATCTGCCATATCTCCAGATCATTAATGGAGTCTCTGGATTAGGAGTCTAACAGTATCATTATGCATTCTTCTTACCCATTTATTAACTCCAGTTTTACTGAGTGATGAATATTAGCAAAGCAATCTTAAAATATGTCAGCAATATTAACATGTATATAGTTTATACTTTCATTGAAGCAGGTTAAATGAGCTTCTCAAATTTTACATTTCTCAGAACATTTTACAGTGAATTAAATGTTGAAGCCATGAATTTAGTGAAATCAGGACAAATCATATTCACATTAAATAATTACATTTACCTTGGAGCAGGACAACATTCCACCAAGCATTTTGGTCCCTTTGCCAATGCCAACCACTAAAGTAAAATAACAAAGAAAAACAGTATTTTTTTTTAATCTGTAGCAAGAGAAAGAATCGCAGCAAATCAGAAACATAAACAAAGATTGATGGCATTGTGCAGCACATTGGTCAGGAAATAGGTCTTAGGACTATAATGCAAAATAAATCTACGAAACAATCAACACAGTGCTCAATTGTTGTTAACAGAAAGATAAAGTTCAAATAGGTTGTATTATTACTGCACAACTCAATTCTGGACTAAAATCTAAAAGAACCGCAGGTGCTGGAAATCTGAAACAAAAATAGAAATTGCTGGAAAATCTCAGGAGGTCTGAACAGAATTCTGAAGAAGGGATACTGGACCCAAAACATTAACTCTGATTTCTATCCACAGATGCTACCAGACCTGCTGGGAGTTTCCAACAATTTCTGGTTTTTGTTTTAATTCTGGACTACTCTATACAGCTCTTGCTGCAATCACAGGAAAAATATTATTGCTTTTAACCAAGTAAGGAAGCAAGGCATAGAGAACATTCTGGTATCTGTACTTTAAATGCAGAGGTAAAATACGAAGTATGATATTTGAGCTCCAGCCTTTAAGGTGCGGGAACTGACAGAAGCTTGACAAGGATGATCTGGAATTTGGGATTCAAACCAATATTCTCTTTCACCTGCTCATCAATGCAGTAATTAAGAATGTAGCATGCAGGGAATGAAGGACACACTACAGAAACATTCCTTTCCAGGGGCGCATGTGTGTTATTTAGTCTTTCTTTATTCATTCACGGGATGAGGATGTCGCTGGCTAGGCAGCATTTATTGCCCATCCCTAATTGCCCAGAGGATAATCTTAAAGAGAATGTGCAATACAATATCCCAGTTCAGCAAAGTCAACAGAAGTTTAAGGGAACATTGATAGTGCAAATAAAAAGCATCGCAGAATTTAAATTTGTTATTTTAAAAAGGATTCTTATGTTAATATAGGCCAGGTATCTGAACACTCAAAACTAAGAAAAAAGTACAAATATGACTGTGTGTCATGGTTGTCTATGTGTGGAGCCACAGGAGATGAGGGAGATTTTTAATGAATATTTCTCCTCAGAATCATGGATGCCAAGGAAATAAGGGAAACAAGTGGGGACATTTTGAACCATGTACAGAGAAGAGGTGTTTGCAGCCTTAAAGCATTTTAAGGTGGATAAATCCCCTGGGCTTGAACAATTCCATCCTCGGACATTGTGGAAGGCTAGGGAAGAAATTGCAGAGGTCCTGGCAGAGATTTTTGCTTCGTCTTTAACCACTGAAGTAGTTTGGAAAGACTGGAGGGTGGTTAATGTTGTTCCACTGTTTAAGCAAAGACAAGCCAGGGAACTACAGGCCAGTGAGCTTGACATCAGTGGTAGGTAAATTATTGGAGAGGATACTGAGGGACAGGATCAACCAAAATTTGGATAGTCAAGAAAGAATTAGGGATAGTCAGCATGGATGTGTGTACGGGAAGTCACGCCTGACAAATCTTTTAGTGTTTTTCCAAGACGTAACCAACAGGATAGATGAGAGTAGGGCAGTGGATGGTGTCTATATGGAGGTTAGTAAGGCCTTTGACAAGGTTTTTGCTAGTCATGAAGGTTAGGTCACGCGAGATCCAGGAAAAGCTAGCTAATTTCATTCAAAATTGGTTTGATGGTAGGAAGCAGAGGGTGATGTTTGAAATTTGTTTCTCAGACTGGAGGCCTGTGACTACTGGTATGCCACAGGGGTCGGTGCTGGGACCTTGGCTATTTGTTATTTATATAAAAGATCAGGATGTGAATGTACAAGGCATGATTAGTAAGTTTGCGAATGATACAAAATTAGGAGGTAACATTGATAGTGAGGAAGGTTATTAAAAATTACAGGAGGGGTCTTGATCAGATGGGGAAGTGGGCTAAGGATTAGCAAATGTAATTTAACACAGTTAAGTGTGAGGTGTTTCACTTTGGAAAGTCAAACCAATGTAGGATTAAAACAGTAAATGGTAAGGTCCTGAGGAGTGTTGTGGAACAGAGGATCCTAAGAGTACAAGTACATAGTTCGTTGAAAATGGCGTCACAGGTAGGCAGGGTGGTGAAGAAGGCATTTAGTTTGCTGGCCTTCATTGGTCGAGGCATGGAGTATAGGAGTTGGGACGTTATGTTACACTTGTATAAGTCACTGGTGAGGCCGCACTTGGGAGTGTACAGTTTTGGTCACGCTGCTATACGAAAGGCAGTTAAAACTAGAAAGTGTGCAAAGAAGATTCATGAGGATGTTGCCAGGACTAGTATGCCTGAGTTATAGGGAGAGGTTGGCCAGGATAGGATTTTATTCCTTGGAACATAGAAGAATGAGGAGCGACCTTATTGAGGTGTATAAAATCATGAAGGGCATAGAAAGGATGAATGTATATGGTCTTTTTCCCAGGGATGGGGAATTGAAAACGAGGGGGCAAAAGGTTTAAGTTGAGAGGGCAAAAACATAAGACGGACCTGAGGGGCAAATTCTTCATGCAGAGGGTGGTACATATACGGAATAGGTTGCCACAGAAAGTGGTTGAAGTGGGTACAATAGCAACATTTAAAAAACATTTGGATAAGTACACGGATGGGAAGGGTAAACCCATGAGGGACATGGACCAAATGCAGGCAATTGGAACTAGTTGAGTGGGCACCGTGGTCAGCATGGACCAATTTAGGCCAAAGGGCCTCTTCATTGCTGTATTACTCTATGACTAAATCAAGGAAGCTGGAGACTAGATGAATAATTTCTCTGGATTTCAGTTGAATGCATCTGTTGAAATATATCATCAGTCCAGTTGATTCAGAATCAGTGAGACCAGCAGCACATAACTATTCTGCCAATGGGTTAGGAATAGGGTTAGGGTAATCCTAAAGAACATAAGAACACAAGAACACAAGAACACAAGAACACAAGAACACAAGAACTAGGAGCAGGAGTAGGCCGTCTGGCCCTTCGAGCCTGCTCCGCCATTCAATAAGATCATGGCTGATCCTTTCGTGGACTCAAATCCACTTACCCTCGTTCTCACCATATCCCTTAATTCCTTTATTGTTCAAAAAAAATCTACCTTTTTTTTTTAAAAAGCGTTTACTGAAGTAGCGTCAACTACTTCACTGGGCAAGGAATTCCATAGATTAACAACCCTCTGGGTGAAGAAATTCCTTCTCAGTTCAGTCCTAAATCTTCTCCCTCTAATCTTGAGGCTATGCCCTCTTGTCCTAGCTTCACCTGCTAGTGGAAACGTCCTCTCTACTTCTATCTTATCTATTCCCTTCATAATTTTATATGTTTCTATAAGATCCCCCCTCAATCTTCCGAATTCCAATGAATATAATCCCAATCTACTCAGTCTCTCCTCATAAGCCAACCCCCTCAACTCCGGAATCAACCTAGTGAACCTTCTTTGCACCCCCTCCAGTGCCAGTACATCCTTTCTCAAGTAAGGAGACCAAAACTGCACACAGTACTCCAGGTGTGGCCTCACCAGCACCTTGTACAGCTGCAACATAACCTCTCTGCTTTTTATTTCAATCCCTTTAGCAATGAAGAGCAAAATTCCATTTGCCTTCCTACTTACTTGTTGTACCTGCAGACCTACCTTAAAACAAACAGTGCTCTTGTTCATTTCAACCCAATGTTTCAAAAGGCTTTCCTGGTACCTCACTGCTAAACTAGTGATCAGTTTCAGCTGCTTTTTGTTTCCCAGGATCTATTAGCAACAGGAGTCATCAGCTGGTTGTAAAATCTCTCACCAGCCCCATATAAAGTTGCAGCCCAAATTAGAATGCTGACAGAAAACATGCACGTGGCCTGCAAATTACTTTAATCCCTCATTTGTAATGTATGCCTTCTAGTGTGCAAAGTCCATATTTTAACATATGTAAGGATAAGACATTGAAGAGTGACAAAAGCATACAAGAAATCAATATAAAAAGCTCTTTACCCATTGCTACAAAGTACCTTTAGCTTTCAATCCCCGCTTCCTTCTTACCAAGCACTCCTGATGCTGCACTGTCCAGGGTTCCTCCATGTCCCAACTTCAGAACCTGTTTCTTTCTTTTCATTGGATGTTGCTTGATGCCAGCCTCTGTTTGAGCAACACAATTCAAATGTCAGACTACACAACGACAGTTGTACAAAAAAAATTCAAATGTCGCAAAATATCTGAACAAGTGTTTTATTCTACTTTTTGGCTAAAATTTAAATGGTACTACCAAACAGCACTGTCACATGGACTGCAAAATTTGAGATCGTCTACCATCATCTTGTTGACTATGCCAAAATCTTGAGAATAAACACTGAAAAAGAGAGGTCATGATGATGTGTAGGGTATGGGTTTTAAATTCAGTTCAGGGTTGAAGTAGTAAGTGAAATTTCATATGATCTAGTTTGGCTTAGAAAACATTAAAGGAATGCTTTCCATCACGTATGGCTTTGTCACTAGTTTAGCAGTGAGGTACTGGGAAAGCCTTTCAAAACATTAGGTTTAAATAAACAACAGCACTGTTTGTTTTCAGATTACCCTAACCCTATTCCTAACCCATTGGCAAAATAATCATGTGCTGCTGGCCTCACTTATTCTGAATCCACTGAACAGATCATAGTCTGGAAATAGATGAGTTCTCTCTAACTTCCTTACTTGGTCAACAGCTAATTAGCTATTCATCACCATATCTGGCTCTTAAGAATCAGGAATTCTCATCTCTTGACCATCACATTGGAGAGACAAAGTAATTTCCAATTTCTTTTCTCCTTGAACAAGTGTCTTTTCCTTGTCCCCATTCACACACACCAAGCATGAAGAGTTCCTAGGCTTCTTTAAATCACCAAGACTCATAACACCTGCGCTGCATCCCACCGTTTTCTGTCCTTGCACAACACAAGCTAACTTGGTCAAAAACCCCTCTATCTTAGCAGTGAATCAACATCTTTCTGCACCTTCTTTGCTACCTTCTCCAATGCCCTCTTGAGATCAAAGGTGAATTTGATCTCAAGTGACTGAAGAGATAGTAGGGGTCCACTTTGAGTCTAGTGATCATAACTCTATTTATTTTAAAACAGTTATGGAAAAAGATAAGCCTTCCATAAAAATTAAAGTTTTTAATTGGAATAAGGCAAATTGTAATGGTATGCAACAAGACTTTTAAAAACTAACTGGAATAGATTGTTCACAGATAAAAGGACATCTGATAAGTGGGAGGCTTTCAAAAGTGTGATAATGAGAGTTCAGAGTCATTATATTCCTGTTAGAGTGGACGGCAAGGCTGGTAGGATTGAAAACAATGGATGAAAAAGATATTGAGATTCTTGTCCAGAATAAAAGGTAATCACATGTTAGATATAAACAAATGGGTTCAAATGAATCTCTTGAACAGTATAAAGAGAATAAGGGGCATTCTTAAGAGGAAGCTCAGGAAGGAAAAGAGAGGATATGAGATAGCCTTGGCAAATAAGATTAAGGATAATCCAAAGAAATTCTACATGTACATTAAGAGCAAGAGAGCAACTAGAGAGACAGTACAGCCCCTTAAAGATCAAAGGGGTCAACTTTGTGTTGAACCTCAGGGATGGGAAAGATATTAAATGAACATTTCGCATTAGTTTTTAGTGTGGAGAAAGAATTGGAGGCTAAAGAACTCAGAAATGAATACTGATGTTTTGAAAACAGTTCACATTACAGAAGCAAAAGTGCTGGAGGTCTTAGTAAATATAAAGTTGGATAAATCTCCAGAATCTGATCTAGTTTATCCCATGACTTTGTGGGAAGTTAGGGAAAAAAACTGCAGGGTCCCTTACAGAAATAAAAACTGAAAGAACTGCGGATGCTGTAAATCCGGAACAAAAACAGAAGTTGCTGGAAAAGTTCAGCAGGTCTGGCAGCAACTGTGAAGGAAAAAAAAAAGTTAACGTTTCAGGTTCAGTGACCCTTCCTCCCTTACAGAAATAGTTGTATCATCTGTAAATACAGGTAAGGTGCATGACTGGAGAGTGACTAATGTTGTCCCTTTGTTTAAGAAGGGATGTAACAAGAAGCCCAGGTACTACAGACCTGAGAGTCTGAGGTGGTGTTAAAGTTGTTGAAAGTGATTAGGTTTTAAATGCATTTGGAGGGGCAAAGAATGATTAAGGATAGGTTTTTTGCGTGACGGAAATTGTCTCTTACAAACTGGATTGAGTTTTTTGAGGAAGTAACCAAGAAGATTGATGAGGGCAGCGCAATAGACATGGTTTGCTGAGACTTTAGTAAAGCCTTTGACAAGGTTGCACATGGTAGACTAATTAGTAAAGTTAGATCATGTGGGATTCAGTGCAAGTTTGCCAATTGGATACATAATTGGCTTACCGCCAGGAGACAATGACGGTGGAGGGCTGGTTTTTGGACAGGAGGCCTGTGACCAGCAGTGTTCCACAGCGATCAGTACTGGATCCACTTTTGTCTGTCATTTATGGAAATGATTTGGATGAGAGTATAGCAGGCATGGTTAGTAACTTTGCAGATGACATCAAAATTGCTGATATAGTGAACACTGAAGAAGGCTAAGACTACAAAGAGATCTTAATCAATTGGGTCAATGGGCTAATGGCAATGGGTAAATGGAGTTTAACTTGGATAAATGCAAGGCATTGCATTTTGGTGAAACAAACAAAGACAGTACTTCTACAATTAAAAGTAGGGCCTTGGATAGTGTTGCAACACATTGAGACATAGGGTTCAGGTACCTAATTCTTTGAAGTTTGCATCACACATAGTTAGGGTGGTTAAGAAGGTGTTTAGCATGCTTGCCATCATGGCTCAGACCTTTTGAGTATAGGAGTTGGTGTGTTATGTCGAGGGTGTACAGGAGGTTGATGAGACCTCTTCTGGGAGTACTGTGTCCAGTTCTGGGCTCCCTCTTATAGAAAGGATACTATTAAGCTGGAGTAGGTTCAGAATAGATTTGCCAGGATTTTGTCAGGAATAGAGGGTTTGAGTTATCAGGAGAGGCTGGATAAGATAGGACTTTTTTCTCACTAGAACAGAGGAGGTTGAGAGGTGACCTTAAAGAAGTTTATAAAATAATGAAGGGTATAGATAAAGGTGAATGGCAAGCATCTCTTCCCTAGGACATGGGATTTCAAGACTATGGGACATTTTTTAAAGTGAGAAGAGAGATTTAAAAAATACATGAGGGGCAACTATTTTGCACAGTGATTCGTGTGTGGAATCAACTGCAGGAGGAAGTGGTGGATGCAGGTACATTTACAACACTTAAAAGACATTTGGATAAGTACATGAATAAGAAATGTTGAGAGGGATGTGGGCCAAGTGCAGGCAGGTGGGACTAGTTTAGGTGTATTTATTATTGCATGGACTGGTTGGACCAAAGATTCTGTTTCTGCATGACTATGACTCAGCTCCTCTTCCTAGTCAACTTGCGAAATGGATATCTCGCAACTGTTGACATTCCTTCTCTTTTCCAAATCCAAATCACCATCCCCAGACTCCCTCTATCGTTTTGTCTACTGCCCATTTCCAATCTCCTTTTCCTCTCAAATAGACTAAGCAAGTTTTTTACTTCATCAGTACGTCCCCATCTTCCCTGCAACTCCAAAGCTTGACCAAAGTTATGAGTGATATCAGTGGTTGCCCATTTCCAATTGAGAAGTTGGTGGTGAGTTGTCTTCTTGAACTTCAGCAACCATGGGTTGAAGGTATACCCACAGTGCTATTAGGGAAGGAATTCCAGAATTTTGACCTAGCAACAAACGAAGGACAGTGATATATTCCAAAATTGGGATGTTGAGAGATACGGGTGATGGTGTTTCCATGCATCTGCTGTCCTTGTTCTTCCCAATGGTAGAAGATGCTGTTGAAAGGTCCTCAGGGAGTTGCTAGAGTCCATTTTGCGCATCACACACTCCACTGCCACAATGCACCAGTACTGAAATGAGTCAATGCTGAAGTTGGTAAATGGGGTGTCAACAAGTGGGCTTTGTTCCAGATGGTATAAATCTTTGAGCGAGTGTTATAGGAGTCACATCGAACCTGGCAAATCAGTGCACATTCCATCACACTCCTGACTTGTGCCTTGTAATTGATGGGCAGCCTTTGGGGAGACCAGTTACTCACCGTAGAATTCCCAGTTTCGCTTGTAACCACTGTATTTGTGGCTAATTCAGAACTGCTGGTTAATGGTAAACCCCAGAATGTTAACAATGGTGGAATCAGAGGTGATAATGCCATTATACATCAAAGAATCTTTATTCTTTATTCATTCATGGGATGAGAGCTTCGTTGACCGGGCAGCATTTATTGCCCGTCCCTAATTGCCCAGAGGGCAGTTGAGAATCAACCATATTGCTGTGGGTCTGGAGTCACATGTAGGCCAGACAAAGTAAGGATGGCAGATTCCTTCCCTAGAGGACATTAGTGAACCAGATGGGTTTTTCCTGACAATCAACAATGGATTCATGGTCATCATTTAGATTCTTAATTCCAGATATTTTATTGGATTCAATTTCCACCATCTGCCAAGGCAGGATTCAAACCCACATCCCCAGAAATTTATCTGGGTCTCTAGATTAACAGTCCAGTGATAATACCACTAAGCCGTTGCCTTCCTTGGTTTGATGATTGAAGATGATTATTGCATGGCACAAATGTTACTTGTCACTTCTCAGTCTAAACATGAATGCTATCCAGGTTTTGCTACATGCAAGCACACATTCCTTCACTATTTCACCCATTATAAATGGCACTGCATTCCATGAAATTATTAGTGAACATTGCAATGTTGCTCTATGTTGGAGAGAAGGCTATTATTGAAGTAGCTGAAGTTGTTGGGCATGGAACACTGCACTAAGAAACTGTAGCAGCAAGATCTTGGGGTCAAGATGATGCAGTTGTTGGAACTTAGTCTTCTTTTAAGCTTCCCTCACTTGCTTCCACTTCTGCCTAAACATAGCCATAACATTGCAGTAATGGTTTTTGTTCCTGCTTCTACACCATTAGCTCGAGTCCTCCAAAAGGGGTACTATTGCTCCTCAGTGACATAATCTGAAGTCACGGGGTCAGGCTCCAGCCCAATTCCAGACCAGTTCTTACCA